ACACTGCTGCCATTCCCAGCCACGCTGACAGCTTGTGGTGGGGCACTGGGGACTACCAAGGGAACACATGGAGAGGGTGTCACCTCAAGGGTGTCGCTGGGAACCACCACCATGCCCCTTTCCCTGCACTCACCCGCCTCTGGGATGCTCAGGGTGCGTACGGCGCTATCAGGGCCATGGAAGTGGTGGAAGTAGGGTTGGACCTTGACCTGGTAGTTCTGGCCACGGTGCAGGTGGGTGAGCAGCACCCCCCGGTCTCCCCGTGCCACCCGTGCCTCCTCCCAGCGCCCACCACCCCGCCGCAGCAGCACCCGGTAGCCCTCAAGAAAGGGTGCTTGGTGCTCCACCTGTGGACAAAGGAGTGGGGATGGGGTTTTGGGGGGGAGCTCAGCACTAGAGCCCCCATCATGGCCCAGCACATGGCAGCACTCACAGTCCAGAAGAGGCGGACAGTGCCTGGCAGCAGCACCACAGGCTCCAGCAGGTGCACAGTCCCCTGCCCCAGCTCCTGTTGCACCTTCTCCAGGTCCAGCCCTGCCTGCACAGGGGTGGTGGCTGCTGCAGATGAAAGGTCCATGGACACCTCCATTAGCATAATTGGCAGTGACACACCCAAGGATGGTAATTTCATAGGCACCTCCATTGGTGTCACCGAGTGGAGATGCACCCAAAGGTTGTGGGTTCGTGGGCACCTCTATCAGCATCACCAAGCAGGGATGTACCCAAGGGTGGTGGGTTAATGGGCACCTCTGCCCATGTTGCCACCAGATCTCACCTTGAGTGCGCACAGGCTCCGAGAGGCCGCTGGGGTCACTGAGCCCGTGGGCATTGGCCGCCCGCACCAGGAAGAGGTAGATGGTGTCAGGAATGAGGCCGCTCACTGTGTGGGTCTCACCCTCCACGTCAGCTGCCACTGTCTGCCATGGACCACCCGCTGCCTGGCTGCCAGAGAAGAGAGGTGACCCATGATGGGATGGCACTGGGCCACTGTGTCACCCCTGCACCTGCAGAGGACACTTGTGTGATACCTGAAAGCCTCCACAATGTAGGAGGTGACATTGGTGGCACCACTATCCTCATTTCCTTTCCAGCTGAGGGTGACGCTGCTTTCAGTGATGTTGGTAACCACAGGGGTGGAGGGTGGCCCAGGGAGAACACCAGCTTCAGGAGGCAGTGGGGAAATGTCAGATCCATTACCTGTGGGGTGGCAAGAGGTGAAAATCTGGGGTGGCTTCATTCCCAGTGCCATGGTGTCCCCAGTGCGGTGACATCCCCATGACCCACCTTGTACCTCCAGGGAGTCACCCCAGCTCATCTTGCCCACTGGGCTGGTGGCCACGCAGTTGTAGTGCCCCAACTCCACCACCTGCGAGGAGAAGAAGCCCCGTCACCTTGAGTACCCACTACACTTGGTGCCCACCACCCCAAGTATCCCCACCCTTTGTTACCAACACACATCATCCATGGGAACCATCACCCTGAGCATCCACCACCCATTGCACCCACTACCCATTGGAACAATCACCTTGAGTACCCATCAACCATTGGAGCCATCACCTTGAACACCCACCACCCATCGGAACCACTACCCATTGTGCACACCACCCATTGCACCCATCACCTATGTCTCCCATCGCCCATTGGAACCATCACCTTGAGCTCCCATCACCTGCTGGAACCACCACCCTGACCACCCACCACCCACTGGAACCACTCCATGGGTGCCTCCCCCACTCACCTTCAACCCACTGATCCGCAGGGTGCTGTTCTCCAGCAGACTGATGTGGGGCTGGGCCCCTCCCAGGGCATTCCCATCCTTCTGCCCTCCCCTGCTGGTGGGAGGGTCCCCACCATGCGCCCCCCGGCATGGCAGAACCCTCCGGTTGCCGGGCCCCCGACGGATCACCGGCGGGTGGGGGGAAGAGCCAGGAATTTCTGGGTGCTGGGTGGGTGCAAGGGGTGCAGGGAGGGTGGGAGGGCTGGGATGGGGCAGGAACTCACCCTGGGCCACCTGAAGGCTGGCCTGGGCCAGCAGGCTGCCAGCCACGCTGAGGGCCTGGCACAGGTAGGAGCCAGCATCGGCACGGGTGACGTTGACAATGGTGAGGGACCCAGCAGGGGACACCCAATGGCGGGCACTGGGTGAGGGGGGCTGGCCCGGGAACAGCAGGGTCTGTGGAGTGGGATAGGGGTGGGAATGGGAATGGGGACGGGATGAGATGGGATGGGAAGCAGGCTGCCAGCCACGCTGAGGGCCTGGCACAGGTAGGAGCCAGCATCGGCACGGGTGACGTTGACAATGGTGAGGGACCCAGCAGGGGACACCCAATGGCGGGCACTGGGTGAGGGGGGCTGGCCCGGGAACAGCAGGGTCTGTGGAGTGGGATAGGGGTGGGAATGGGAATGGGGACGGGATGAGATGGGGTGGGAATAGGAACAGGCTGGGATGCTGTGGGAATGTGATGGGGATGGTCTGGGAATGGAATAGGGATAAGATGGGGTGGGGATGGGGAAAGGGAAGGGGATGGGGACACAATTGGGAGAGAGATAGGGATGGGATGGGGTGGTGGTGGGGACAGGGATGGGATGGGGTCAGGGTTGGGCAGGAATGGGGACAAGGATGAGGATGGGACAGGGATGGGGTCAGGATGGGTTGGGGTCAGGGCAGAGGCAGGAATGGGTATAAGGATGGGGACAGGGATGGAGATTGGGATGGGAACAAGGATAGGGACAGGGATGGGCATAGGGATTGAATAGGGACAGGCATAAGGACAGGGTTGGGGACAAGGCAGTGACAGACCTGGGTGCCTTCCTTCTGCCAGAAGATGGCAGGCGGGGGGTTGCCCCTGGTGTGGCAGGGGAAGGTGACACTCTGCCCAGGGGTGACACTCTGGTCGCGGGGGCCGGTGACCAGCTGGGGGGGCACTGGGACACAGGAGAGATGGGCTGCTCCCACCGCTCCGCTGGCACCCATGGGTGCTCCAGGGGGGCACAGGGACAGCCCTTACCACGGACAGTGAGGGTGGCAGAGGCCTGGGCACGGCCCACGCCATTGTCAGCCACACAGGTGTAGGTGCCCTCGTCCTCTGGACGCAGAGCCCACAGCTGCAGGGTGTTGTCAGGGAGCACATCCCACCTGAGCCAAGGTAGAGATGCACCAGGAGGGGCTGGAACACTGGGAGGGTGTATGGGGATGGGGGGGTGAGGGGTTGGGCTGCGGGATGGGGTGGGGTTGTGGCATGTGATGGGGACATTCAATGTAACAGAGACAAAGGATGGGACAGGAAAAGTGGAATGTGACAAAGTGGAATGTGATGGGAATGTGGTATGTGATGGGGACACTCAGTGCAGCAGGGACACAGGATGCAACAGGAAAGTGGGGTGCTGCAACGGGGATGCAGGATGTGATGGGGACACTTAATTCCAGTGTCATGGGAGGTGACAAGGACACACACTGCATCCCTCCCCTGCCCCCTGCCATCAGGCAGTGCCACCTGCCTGCGCCCCGCCGTACCCTGTTCCCATCCCCACTCACCTCCCTGCCGGCATAGTGCCCTCCTCCTTGTACCACCGCACTGCGGGCCTGGGGTCCCCTCCAGCCTGGCAGGTGAACTCAGCTGTCCCCCCCACCAGCACTGCCTGGTCCTGGGGTCGCTGGTCGAAAGCAGGGCGCTCTGCGGGGGGGCGTTCAGTCCCGCTGTCACATCACTCCTCCCAAAGGAGATGTGCCCCCCCAACCCATCCCCACGCACCCAGGACCAGCAGGCGGGCGGGCGCGCTGTCCCGCTCCCCCGCCGCGTTGGTGGCCACGCCGACACAGAGGGCCGTGGCCCGCCT